TTTGCTCCATACAATAAAGCGATCTATTGTCCTATTTGCAGCTTTAAATGTTTTCATCCCTCACACTGGCTGCCAATCGGGGCTTTTAATGTGTCACACACTTATACTTCTCAAACTACCACAAATAGGTTCGTGTTGAAGGTTTTCATATTAAATTAAATTATGTTTTTTTAGCTAGAGTTTGTCTATTAATCTTTGTTAGAAATGGGTGTGCACAACATACTGATACAGTCAGTTAAAAAATTAATTCATAACTTTTTGTATAGGCCCAGTTAACTATTGCATGAGGAATGTGTGGTTATCACAAAATCCTACGGCACACCTTTATTGGCATCACTGTACACCAGTGTGCCGCAGCACACCATTTGAGAACCAGTGGTTTAGAGAAATACAAACAACCCAGAGCATTTTTCCCTCTATAGCAGAATGATAATGTGCACTTCCAGACCTTTATCTAGCGCTGACACTGTGCTGTGAAGATAGGTTTGGCTACACAAGACTACATTCCTCATTGATCTCACTCCCTGTCTCTTTGGTTACTTGTATCTTGCTCTCTCATCGTATTTCTTCTTCTTATTTATTCACTCATTAGCTCACAGTCTTACACTCAACCCTGACCTCTACTCATTTATCCACAGTCTGCCTCCCTCACTTCCCTCCCAGTTAACTTGTCAGGCCTGACTCTGCTCTGGTCTTCCACTTACCCTCCAGTCTGGCTCGCTCGTGTTGCCACTGGAGCGTTTTGGCCTCTCTCAGCTTTCCTTATCAGACAGAGCTCATTTGGCTACCGTACCAGGGCTGAGTTCAGACTGGGGTTGGCCAGATTAAGAGGAGAGGTTCCCCCTCCCTTCATCAGTTCCCCTCTCCCTTGCTTCTGGCTTGGCCTGCCTGTGTAGGCCCATCACGTTAAAGGGCAGTGGGTCAGATGAGAATCACGGAGAATAAAGACTTTAAAAAAGGAGCAGCTTCAAATAACTTGTTGAAGAGAGTCAGTGAGGTGTAAAAGGAAAATGGGCATGGGCAAATTTGTCCACCAACACCCAAGTTTGTTTCTCTACTGGTGTAAAAACTCATAAAGCATGGTGGTTTAAATGGGGATAAAATGGTCTCCTTGCCTCCCAGGGTTCACGACCCCATCCGTTCGTGTTTGCATGCTAAATGTGCTGCTCTGTAATCACCATTGCCACTTGCAATAAAAGTCGTAAAAGCAGTGTTTCTAAATGGCATCAGGGTTTCAACATGTGATTTAAGCCATATGTGTCAAAACACGATTTATATCTACACACCATATGTGAGCAGATTCCATAGATAGGCATGGGCGTGCGGTGGAGAGTACGTCTGTGGAGTTTATGCACACAGCCTATTGTCGTTACAAAACTCTGAGTCCAAGGCTGCCTCTCTGCTGTTTAGTTAGCCTTTAGACTGCCACCAGCCACCAGGGACCCTGGGGACACAATAAAAACATCCATCATACCACTGGCCATCAGCCAGCCTGAAAAAGGAAAGTCCGAAAGAAAAAGCAGAGAGAGAAAGTTAATGACCACATGTCTGAATACTCCTGTGAGATTTCCTGCAGACTCCCCATCACACCCTGTTGTCTGTCATAGTCCGTCTCTTTCCCTGCAGTGCTCTATTCTTTCAGACACACACACAAAAGGCCTCTCTGTCTGTCCTGGGGCCATTGCATCACAGACAGCTGCTTTAAGTCACACTGAGGGGTTATATGTGACCCTGACACCGGGGTCTGACAGTGCTTTCTCCTCTCACTGACCTGCTCCACTGATTTCTCTCCTACTGCAACCTCTAGGGTTTCTGTAATAAGCCCAATTATTCTATTAGGTCCGCAACTCTCTGCAGACCCTACCACTGTCTTATCCCGATGTCCTTCCACATCTCAACACCTTAAAGGCCTTGAGGAAACCATTATCTAGGAGGAAAACCATTAGGTGTGAATAGGTCGTGAAAACAACCAAGATGACATGCTAATGGCGTCGACGAAGTGGCACAAACCAGAGACTCCTTTAGTCTTTGAGGGTTTTTTTTTTATCTACTTTGCTTTCATCGATGGTAGTAGCCAGAGCTACTTTGGACCTGTCGAAGGAACACCGGAGCGGCGTGACTCATGGCAAGCCATTGCACTCAAGCGGTCGACCTGGGCGGCAATGGATTAGGACAGTTGAAATAAAGCACGGCTGCTGAGCGGCGTGAGGAAGGCTGCGAGCCTGTTCCTTTTTTTTTTTGCAACAGAAATAAAAACAATCTTTGGGGATGATGGAAATAGCAGCTAGGAAAGGGTGGAAGGATGAGTTGCAGCCCCGACAAACTATGTGTCGACTAGACGGCGCATCTGTCTGGTTCGGGTCGTCAGGCCCAAGCGAGGATGACGCCACACATGGGGTTGCAGTTTGTGATCCTATTCCATCCTAGATCCCAGCCAGGCTGGTGCCTAAATGGTGTTTGTGGGAGGGCTGTGACAGGTTGGCACCCATTAAGCCTATTGTTTTATGGTTAAAGGAAGAGGCTTTTTGGGTTTACTGGTAAATGCATCACCGCTGTCATTTCAAATAAGGAAGTTGAAACCCTATCCTCTTCTTCGTGTGTCTCTCTGGCCGAGCACCAAGCCCATAAAGGAGGACAAGGAAGGCTTGAGCGACTGTGTGTGTTTGTGTGTGTGTGTTTTGAATCTGCTGCCTCCTACCTGTTTGGCCCTCACCTCTCTCTGTAGGCCACTGATGCCTTCAGCCACTACTGCTGCCTGACTCTGAGTGAGTCAGAATATCAGAAACATCCTGTTAGATCATTACGTTCACCAGGTGTAAGCCTGGAGGGGGTCATGTGTTTAGTCGTGTGTGTGTGTGTGTGTGTGTGTGTGTGTGTGTGTGTGTGTGTGTGTTTGTGTGCGTGCGTGCCTGCGTGCCTGCGTGTGTGTGTATTTGCCTGTCTCTCTGCAGTAACTCTTGCATACTACTAAACCAGTCAGCCTAATGATCTCCATCCATCCATCCATTTTCAACCACTTATCTGAATCTGGGTCGCGGGGGCAGCAGGCCAAGCAAAGTACCCCAGACATCCCTCTCCTCAGCAACGCTTTCTAGCTCTTCTTTGGGTACCCCAAGGCATTCCCAGGCCAGATGAGATATGTAATCCCTCCAGTGTGTTCTGGGTCTGCCCCTGGGCCGCCTACCAGTGGGACAGGATCCTGATCAGATGTCTGAACCACCTCAACTAACCCCTTTAGATGCGAAGGAGCAGCGGCTCTACTCCGAGCTCCCTCCGGATGTCCAAGTTCCTTACCCAATCTCCAAGGCTGAACCCAGACACCCCATGGAAGAAACTCATTTTGGCTGCTTGTATCCGCGATCTCATTCTTTTGGTCACTACCCAGAGCTCATGACCATAGGTGAGGGTTGAGACGTAGATGGACCAGTAAATCAAAAGCTTTGCCTTCCAGCTCAGCTCCCTCTTCACCACAACAGTCCGGCACAGTGCCCGCATCACTGCAGATGCCGCGCCAAATCACCGACCCATCTAACATTCCATTCTACCTCACTTGTGAACAAGACCCTGAGGTACATGAACTCCCTCGCTTGAAGCAGTAACCCTCTCCCAACCTGGAGGGGGCAGAGAACCATGGCGTCAGATTTGGAGGCGCTGACTCTCATCCCGATTGCTTCACACTCGGCTGCAAACCACCCTAGTACACGCTGGAGGTCACGGTGTGATGAAGCCAACAGAACCACATCATCTGCAAAAAGCAGACATGCAGTACTGAGGTCTCAGCCTAATAATATGTGGGAACATTTATGCCCGTATGCTCAAGGACCCTCTGGTTGCAGTGATTCAGCACGGTTGAAAAAAACAGTTTTATTGACTGTTTCATACCATCATGGACTGCTGACTCCTCACTCCCCTAAACCTGCTGGTTAGGGGCCACAAGTCCTCAACAGTATCACGTGGCAAAAAGAAAAACACATTTTCGTCTAAAAACAAGCTTTACCTGATCTGTTGTAGGCCACATTTTGGCCTTCGTCATGGCTCAAAAACTGATATCCATACCAAAGTTTGGTCTCCTTTTGAACCAGAGGATCTGCAGATTTATTCCATCATATTTTATTAATCACTAAAGAAAAAATGTTGTGTTATCCTTGCTGGCATCTTGACTGTAAGGGAGCCGGGAGGGACAATTCCACCGAGGGCAGCTGAGCCAGTTGTATTGTCTAGAGTGGCGAAACCAGCACCGGCAGCTGCCTGATAGAGATCTGCATTCTACTCTGTGCACTCTGTGCTCTAGTTCAATGTGAAATTGATGGAAAATTTTACTTGGCATGCTTATATTGAGTAATTTACTTGATCTTTCATTGTTTTATTGAAGAAATGTATGCAAAATTTAGTCTTTTAAGTGAATTATTGATTTAAACCTTTGAGCTTTTCTGCCCTATACTGACACTCCTTTGATTTACACATTCAAATGATTCTTGCATGTTTTATGTATCACCCCAACAACCAATTTCGAAGGCATCTGTCTCATAGTAATGAAGCAGAAATGCCACGTTAATGTGTTTTGCCATTCTTAGCATGTATTCACTCTTTGATTTCCTATCAAGTCAGTGCATACATGTGTGGGAGGTGCAAAGATCACAGAAGAAGATTCACATATTTTAAATGAAATAGGTAGTGTGTTAAATGAACTACCTGCACCATGTCATAATTTTATGTATTAAAACTATACCTTAAAAGCACCTACGTAAGACATCAAAGACTTTTCTCTGTTCATTCTTTAAAAGACATCCATTTTTTTCTGGAAAAGTAATCATAAATCAACCATTTGGATAATGAGCATTCTCATGAGTAGCAGTTTATGTCCTTGAATTTCGACCAGATGCTACTTTCTGTCATTTTGAGCTATCTTCATTTGACATTTGAACAGTCCAACTTGAAGCAGAATGGAAATGCAGCGCGGATCATCCAGTTTTTCATCATTCTCTGTGATTGCTTTGCAGGGAGCAACGATAAGGCGTGACGAGCGCACTGGAGCCATCCTCGTGGCCCGGATCATGAGAGGAGGGGCAGCTGACAGAAGCGGTCAGTTTTTCCTCTTTTGTCTACCAAAACATTTGTGTGTGAGTCTGCAGTGTGAAAGTACTTTATATCCCAACAGAATTACATCCAGTGTCTAACAAAGAGGGGATGTATTCAGGAATTATCCCTGCACCTGAACACACCGAAGTCTGTGCCATAAGTTGTCCTTTTCAACTTTGTAAATATGAACACAAATGACAAGTATACAGTGACGCTCTTCTTGCTGTCCACGTGTTTTTGGTTTGATTGTGTGTTCATTGTGACCAGTCTGTTTTTCAGCTCTGCCACAGTAAAGCCAAAGGCAAATTTCCACATGTGTTGACAATAATGTTTTGATTCTTTTCCAATCTCAAATGCCACCATGGCGATAAACAGTAATCTGGGGTACTATACACATCCCGGGGCTTTGTGAGCACTGGACTTTTACACAGTAGCTCACTTCTATTAGGACAGTCGATCGTCAATATGTAAACTTTGTGTTTGTGTGTGACAGGGCTGATTCATGTAGGAGATGAACTGAAGGAGGTCAATGGAATCCCTGTGGATGACAAGAAACCAGAGGAAATCATTCGTATTCTGGTAAGCCTCATCTGTTTGTGTGTGTGTGTGTGTGTGACTGTATTCTCCCCTGTGTGTGTGTGTGTGTGCTGTTCAAGGCTTTCTCCCGTGTTTCAGCCCCAATCCCTTAGCGAAAATAACATTCCTTGTTTGTGATGGCAAAAAAACCTTCCCTAACTCATCCAGGACCATGTGCTCTCCTGTCGCAGCGCTGAAAACCAAGCACTAGCCTTTCTCTACAAGTCTTTCCTGGCCTTTAGACCACATACATCGAGCCACACGGTCCCCCCTGGATTAGATTGATGCTTAGTAGTTCCTCCAAACAGGCTCCACCACAGGCCTCAAATAAGCTTCGCCGTGGGCCTGAACTCTGCCAGGGGGGGACAACTGGAGAGGAAAGAGAGAGTCTCTTAAACTCAGGAGTCCGTCTCAGACACAAAGGCCTCTGGAGCGTGATGATAGCTTTCATCACTCCTCCTTTTACCCCCACACATACTCTATATCCCTGCCAAGCAGAGTCATCCAATCCTAATAACCCTTCCATTGTTGAAAAATCAAACAGTGCTTTGCGTCATGTGACTTTCATTGGATTAGGTGCCTTGTGAAATATTTGCAGGACAGATGACTGGTGTTTCCACCCCCTTCACTTGGACCTAAACTGCTGTATCTGTCTTGCCTTTCCCAATATTCAGGCCCAGTCGCAAGGAGCGATTACCTTTAAAGTCGTCCCCGGCGTCAAGGAGGAGGTGCCAACCAAGGAGCCAAAGGTAGGTCTTGTTCTGGCGTAAGCCTTCTGTTGATTGGGTTACACTCATCGAATTAAAAAACAGAGAGCGTCTCTCCTCCAGCATGATACGTTTTTGTTGGAAATCTGGAACAAGCGATGAATGAACACGGAAAGCGGAGAGCTGTAATATGGTAATGGGAAGAGCGTATACAGTAACGGGGCCAGATTGTTGAGCCACTACCTGAGTTTCAGTATCAGCAACAAATTTAGGATAACTTTGAGGAAACCCTGTTTTACTTTGAACACGTCCCCTTCACATATTCAAAAGCATTCAAACCCAGACTCACGACCCCACCTTACTTCTTCTGTCAGATTTTTGCTCCTGCATGTGTCTGCTATATATATTTCTCTCTGACTGTCCACACCAAACACATTTTAGTCATGTTAATGCATAGATAATACATCTATCAGCCATCCAAAATCCACAGAACAGTCGTTAGTCTCCTTTTAAAATGTACACCAGACAAGTAACGGCTTCATTCGTACAACCCAAAGTGTATTTTCCAACAGATGGCATGGAAAGTAGAGACAGTGGCTTCAGAAACTATTTTCCCACCTTCACTGACGGCCCAAGACAGCGGTTCAGAGCCAGACTTGTTTAAACCTCTAGCAAGGCTTCAGGAGTTCTAGTCAAGGCAATAGAAAGTGACAGAAGAGAGGAGGTGAATGAGTGGTGCAAAGAATGTAAAATTGCCTCTGTGATGAGCACAGTAAACTGTAGCAGTGGTAGCAGGACCAGTACTTTCTCACAAGAGTAGATTTAAGGTGACAGCGACCTTCAGACAAAGCGCGGTTGCTGCCATCAGGTAACATCAATGTTCTGTGTTCTGATCCAGCCTGTACTCTACAAGCTGCTGCTCTCCACCTTGTATACAATCACCACGCAGTTAAAAAGAGCAAGTCGTAGCTTAAAATAGTGGAAATATTTTGTATTTTGGCACAGTTATTAGAGCACGTTTTGCTAAAATCTGTTTATATTCAGACCAGAGAATCAAACTTTGAAGCTGATGTTCCCTCAGTAGTGGTTTCTTTCTTAGATGTGTCTGTTTTCTGCTGGTGGAGCCGTGTCTGATGATTCAGGGAACTCAGATACCAGTGAAATCCGTTCCTGTGTTGTTTCTCTTGCTGAAGTTTCTGTGGTTGCCATGGTGACGGAGGGAGCAGGGCAGCGGGTTGAGAAAGATAAAACCATCATAAACTCCAAATGCAGCGGCAAAGAGCTGTTCACGCTCACCTCCCTCTCTTTGCTGCTGCCATTTCCGCCTCAAAGCCCCTTTAGTGTTTAGGTGTGTTCAGAAGTTAGTGGTGAATTGGTTCTTAGTGAAGAAACAGTTATAGCTGGAATCAAGTAACAAAAACATATTTTTACAGAGCTCACCATGTAGTCCTTTAGCTTCACTCACTTTACTCCAAGCCCTCTACTTTCTATGCCTTGGCTGGAAGCAGTATGTTTTCAGGTTGTCTGTCCGTCCATCTATCCGTCCCATTCTCGTGAACGCAATATCTTTAGAATACCTTTAGAAAATCTCTTCAAATTTGGCACAAACATCCACTTAGACTCAAGGATGAATTGTTTAGATTTTGGTGGTCAAAAGTCAAAGTCACTGTGATCTTGCATCTACCTCATTCTCAAGAACATGATATCTCCGGGCGTTGGTAACGCAGTGGATAGTGCCGGCGCCACAGCGGTCACAGGTTCAACTCCGGCTTGTAGCCATTTGCTGCATGTCATCCCCCACTTTCTCTCTCTCTTACCGTTTCATTCTATCCTGTACAGTACAGGCAAAAAGCCCCCAAAAAATAATCTTAAAAAAAAAAACAAAAAAAGAACATGACATCTCAAGAAGGCCTTGAGGAATTTTTTTTTTTTTGATTAGATTTTGGTGGTCAAAGGTCAAGGTCACTCCAAGCTGGTCTGTCTCATTCTCATGATCGTGATATCTCAAGAACACTTTGATGGAGTTTCTTCAAATTTGGACTGAAGTATGAACTAAATTAGAATCTGATGCTCCAAGGTCAAGGTCACTGTGACCTCACACAACATGTTTTGGCCTTAACTCAAGAATTCCTTTGCTAACAATGACAAATTTCACACAAATGTCTCATATCTAACAGGATAAAATGATGACGTGATGACACTTTATATCCAAAAGGTCAAAGGTCATCTTCATTTTGACATCATAATGTTCTGCAAAAATACGTTTCAGGCCATTATTCAACACCATCACTCAGAAACAGAAAGGGCAGACATTTTGTCAGATACTGAATTGACAGTAATCTTGGGTGTCCACCTTGAAACAGTGCCGATTGTACAGATCTTCTGTCTGTGCTGCCGGGGCGAAGATATCTGTGAAGCATCAGCGTTTCAGAATTTGTAGCTTCTTTGCAGCAACATCCATACTGGACACATCGTCAGCTATCAGCATGCATAGGAGTCTGGACAGAAGTAACTGTAAACTATAACTTGCTAACTAACTATAAATTGCTTTGCATTTGAACACACCCTCAGCTTACCTAATAAATGTTTTTTTTTTTTAAAGATATTTTTGGGGCATTTTTGCCGGTATAGATAGGACAGGTAAGCATGAAGGGGGGAGAGAAAGGGGTAGAGTCGAACCCGGGCCACTGCGGCAACAGCCTTGTACATGGGGCGCCTGCTCTATCCACTAACCCACTGACGCTCCATACTTCATAAATGTTTGAACACATGTACATGAACAAGAACTTTAAGACTTTAACAAAGAAAAATAGAAAACTATTATCCAGTCCAGACATTCCTCACCAGCATTTCTGTTGGTACCCAAAAAAAAACATTGAGGTTTGATACGCAGCCACATGTAAGACAAGATTATCTTCTTTCATGTTGGACCACTGCACCAGGAGACAGTAGCTTGTAGCCATCCATTCTGAGGGTGGTTTAACTGACACTCCAATCAGCATGCCATCACCCACTCACCCACTGGGGTGTTGATACACCATTTCTCACACGCCCATCTATCAGTAGCAGACAGAGGCTGGATCCACTCGCTGGTTTTAAGCTCCAGGGTCGAAGGCCGTTTATCATTACTAACAACACAGCCCACCCTGTAACAGAGGTGTACAGGACAGGGTGGGCCGCTTACATCCTTTGTCATCGTGTAATGGTTAGAGCTGTCTGGCCGTCTGACAAACAGTCCGCCGGTGCCAAACACTCAGCCACTCCTTCATGAAAATAGCCCGCTTACATCAGGTAGTGTAGATGCATCAAAGGGGCAGCTAAGTGGCTGAGCATCCACAGGCCAAATAAACCGAGCCAAGTGAGGAGAAGCAGTGTGTAGATGTATGGGTATATTCTGCCGGAGTGTTTAGCAGCCAACGTGGCTGTTATGACCCAAACAAAACATCTCTTTCTGAAACATAACTTTACTACATGGCACAAAGCACTCTTTAAATCAAAAGGACATCGAAAAATGGTGATCTATGCCTCCCTTGTTTTCTCTCTCTTTTTCATACACATACAAACTTTCCTTCCCTCTGTTTTCTCTTTCCACATGTACCGAGGTGTCTTAGGAGTGATAACTCATCATGACAGAACTCAATTTGGACGGAAGACGCAGCAAGGTGCTTTAGGTTGCAACTCGCCGCCCACAGCGGGGAAAAGATGTCAGAGATTTTTCCACTATAAGGTCCAGCCTCCTTTGTGTTGATGAGTTGTGTCCACCCCCACTGCCAAAACAAATTAGAACAACTCCTTAAAGAAAGGATACAACTTTTTTTCTGCATTGGTTTGTTCCTGTAATGTGGAAAGATTACTGATATTAGATTGTGTTTAGAATTAGAGCACGTCAGTGGGTGGAACAAAGCGCGTCCAACTGGAGGCTCTGACTCAGGAGATGTTAAGTCTCGCCACACTTGGAAGACGGTGACAGGGCTTAGTCCATAGTAAAGTGTTGATGGAACCACATGGTGAAACTGACTTGGCCAGCGGTTACAGGTTTCAACTTCTGATTGCAATGACCTTTCTAGAATAATCACCCTGAGCGTTGGTGAAGCACCTTCTGTGTTTGCCGTGATGGCTTTCCTGCAGAGTTCACACTCCACGCAATGGAGGGAAAGGTCATTTACAGTGAACCGCTGCTTTTTCCTGTTGTGCCCTGAATCCAGCTCTTTGTTTTCCTCCCCCTCCCCTCCTCCGCTGTATGCCCAGGTGTTCCTGAAGGCACTCTTTGACTACGACCCTAAAGAGGACAAAGCCATCCCATGTAAAGAGGCTGGACTGGCCTTCAAGAAGGGCTCCATCCTTCAGATCATGAGCCAGGATGATGCAACCTGGTGGCAGGCCAAACACGAGGGGGAAGCCAACCCCCGTGCCGGCCTAATCCCGTCCAAACAGTTCCAGGAGAGGTAAGAAACAACCTCAGCTAGATCTGCCTGTCCTGTCTACCGTTGCCTCTTAACAAGGCTGGCCCAACTGTCTCTTCTTCTGTCACAGTCACACAGGTTTCACCCTCTTTCTCTTTCGCTCTCCCTTTTCTCTTTTATTTTTTTTTCTTGCCTCACACTGCCAAAATAGTCTGGATTTCCGCACAATGTCTGGCCCGAAATGAGTAATGACAGAAAATGATAGTGCTGGTACCGATCCACTTTGGATGGCAAGTGGATGGAAAATCGCACATCAGTGTGCGCTCGGACAGCCGCACTTGATGTGCAACACAGAGCTCAGGAGGCCGGCGCAGTTTCTTGGCAGCTTCCACGAGCATCGGAGGAGGGGAAAAACACACACTCACACACACAGAAAGAGGGAAGGAGGAGAGCAAAAGAGGAGCTAGAACATTCACAAACATTCAGATTTAACCCTGCTGTTCTGTCAACAACAAGTGTTCCTCCTTCACCTCCTCACTCCTTCACCTCCCCTCTTTTCTTTCACCAGTCTCGGCCGACTGGTGGATATTGAAGCCTAGCTGGGAGTGTTTATTATTCCCTAAGCAGTCGTGAAAACTGATGATTTTATTGTGCCTTTTTTCCTCTCTTTCTTTATCCTCCTTTCTCTTCTTTCAGGAGATTTGCACTGCGGCAACCTGCTGTGACTCTCCAACCCCAGAAGACCTTGAGCCGGCGATCATGTAAGCATTTATTATCAGAACATGACAACACACAGCAACAGGTGGGAGGTAATGTAAAGATGGAATAGGACCTAACAAATGGTGAAAGCCAGGGATGTTACTCAGGACTCATCTCTGCACTCTGGGGTCGCTGCTCAAGTCTGCCATACCGTTGCGCCGCTTCACGTCTGTCATCAGAGGAAGTGTTGTGTCTGGGTTTACCTTCCTTCTTATTTTCCTGTCTGCTCCATGTTTCACTCTCTCAGCCTCTTCCCAGACTCTCTTTCCTCTGTCCCTCTCCGCCTCTCCATGTGTTGATGTGGTCTAAGTCATGCAGTGGCTTTAATGTGGAGAGGGAGGAGGTTTTGCCCTCTGGAAAACCTCTCAGAGCCTTTTACACCTCCCAGCCAACACGCCAGCCAGCATACCCATCCAGCTCACCTCTCCACATCTCAAAGCGCCCAATGACAGATTAATGATCTGATTCTAGACCTACAGATGTGATAGAGGCGCAACACTGCTCTGCAGAGCGCATTAATGTACCTTATTATTATGAGACTGTACAGTGACCCCAAGCCTGGCTGGTCAGTGCAGCAGAGTCAGGGAGAACGCATCAGCAGGAGTGCTTCGTGGAAATGTGCTATAACATGCCTGGTTGTAGGAGATCAGGAAATGGGGGGATTATAGCTAAATTACCCATATAAATCAAAGGTTGTTGATTGCTTCATAATGAAGACAGAATACATAAACCATGTTACATGAGGAAAAGACAGCAGCAGAAATGATTAGATATGGCCGACAGACCCTGGTTTTAGGTTCAAGACTAGAAAAGAGCCATGAGCCAGTGAGAGTGTGGAAACACTGCAGGCTTTAAAACTACAATTGTTAACTTTTATTAAAATAACTTTCTGTCATATTTGCTGAATCTTTCACTACATCTACACAGTGAGACAGAAAATCTGCAAAAAAAAAAAAAAAAAGAAGTTTCTCTGCCTCCTCATAGAGCTTCAGACCGCATTTGCCAGAATCCACCACAGCCGAGGGAAAACAACCAGTCAGTGCTGAGGAGTTTTTAACACAGCAGCAGTTACCTATTTCTCACCTCGAATGTTTTCAGAAACATATTTTAGTGTACTGTTTAGCTATAAAATGAGAAAGTTTGTGACCCAGCCGCCATGTTGGAAACATTCATTCATTCATTTTCAGTAGCCGCTTATCCCTGTGGGGGTCGCAGGGGTGCTGGAGCCTATCCCAGCTGACATTGGGCAAGAGGCAGGGTACACCCTGGACAGACTCACTAGACTATCGCAGGGTTGACACATAGACACAGACCATTCACGCTCACACCTGTGCACACCTGTGAAATGGGTGGGGAAGTTTCTCTTTAAGCTCAGTGTTGGAAATAATGGTGTTGAACACTCGTAACGAAGGTGCAGGAAGACCGAAACGTCAGTGTTACAGATAAATTGTAAAGCTTAGCGAGAGCAGTGCACAGGGTTTTTTGTTCAAGACAGCTAAACAGTATGAAATATATTTCTGAAAACATTTTGCAGTAACAGAATCTTGATTCATATTTGATCAGTGCTGCCAACTATGACAGTTTGACTGCAGTTCAAGAGCTGTGATTGACATGATTGGCTGCTGCATTTGAGACATCTAGACTCTGAGTGGTTGTCGAATAAGTGTGGAACTTTGGTGGTCAAAGGTTAAAGTTCAAGGTCACTGTGACCTCACAAAATAAACTCAAGACTCAAGAAGAAAACTCAAGGGGCGTCAGTGGCTTAGTGGTAGCGCAGGCGCCCCCTGTACAAGGCTGTTGCCGCAGCTGCCCGGGTTCGAATCCAGCCTGTGGCCCTTTGCTGCATGTCATCCCCCCTCTCTCTACCCCCCTTCACGCTTACCTGTCCTGTCCATTAAAGGCAAAATGGCCAAAAAAAATATCTTTAAAAGAAGAAAACTCAAGATGGCCTGTTGGCATTTTATATCCAAAAAGTCAAATATACCCTATAACAACATGCGTATCTGGAGCACTGTGTACTGTCATGACAACATATGAGTCTGGACAGACATGGATGTTAAGTGCAATTTGATGAGATTATCTGTGTAGGTATACTGACAGTTTCAGCAAGTATGAAAAAAAGTTATTTTTTATTAAAGTTACTAACTGAAGCTGTACGTATTTAACATCATAACTCTGAATTAGCTGGCATGATTTCTTAATAGAGGGTAACTCCAGACTGCAGGGGCTTAGATGTTAATGGTGTGAGTGAACTTTTTGTCAAGTTTAATATGACCAGAGTCATTGTTTTGGGATTTATGATGCCACCAGTAATATATTACATTTAAAAATGTTAAACTGAAGTGCCAACTGGAATCTCACACGGTTGTCCTGTTTTGCTGTGGACCAGTCAGTCAAATAAAAATACACTACTGTCTTCAAAAAAAAAAAGCCCACAGATGACAGTTTTGATTTAACAGCAGTGGTTCGACATCTTCACCATCTTCACTCCCATCAGCCACCAAAAGAGAAGCAGGCCAAGCAGTGTAGACGTCTGCACAGCCATGGCTCTTAAGAAAAGCAATCAATCTCTCATGTCCAGCTGCTGAGTCCAAAACAGTAACTGTGATTTCTGCTACCCAAGTACTCACAATATACTAGATATGCCCTTTAAAATGTTGGTTTTCTCTCATAAGAAAATAGTTGGCAAAACATGCACTTTTTCAGACCGTGCCCACCTGTTGCGGCTGCTGTGTACGCCACAATCATTCTCAGGACTTTCCGTTGCACCTGAGTGAAAATCCCTTTAAGAGATTCCCCGACATGCAGTCTCAAAATGACAAAAACATTAGCTATGATTTACAAACAGTTGCCAGTTAGCAATTTGGTTTGTATATGGTGAGCTGCAGTGCATGAACGGGAAGCCTGTCCAGCTGGCATTGTGACTGTGCATTACAATATGACTGCGTGTGCATGCCTGTAGCCATGGAGGAGGAAAACACGCTGCCAGTATCTGCTGTGGGTCTTGCAGAACGTGCGGGCCAATGCACCCCACACAGACTGAAGCCTGACGTTGTGCTCTTTACTTGATGTTTGCAGGGTTTTTTGTGATATTCAAAACTGTAAATGAATTAAAAAAAATGTCCCACATGCAATTATTAGTGCAGATTCAAAACCAAAGTAAGAACAAAGACGTTTTTCTTTTCTTTCAACAGTGAAAGTGTTCCGTCTCTGCTCTACATCAGCTACAAGCTTATCTGTAAAAAATTCTACACACCTCTCCTCTCCTTCCTGCTTGCATCCTTGCTTTGCTTTATACTTTTGCTTATAAATTCATATCCATAACCACATATTTAGGCCTAATGAGACCACATAAGTTCTAATTTACTGTATACAGCCTGTCCCCCTCCTTTCATTTTGCATTTTCCAAACATATGAACCCTCAGAAAAACACACCGCACTTGTGCTTGGCTTTGTAGGCCTGCTCTGGTCTCACAATGACCCCATTGAACCAAAACCTAGCTCTTATTGGCCATATTTTTCACCGTAGATTACCACTTTGGGACGGACATGTCCATTTGACGACTTGTTTCCCTCGACATGGCGGTGAGCCCTTAATGTAACGTGACTCTTTCAATATGTAGCTCCGAAATAACCAGCAGAGCTACGCTGACCACCTCTAAACTTAGCATTAGGGATCGTTTACCTCAGATTTGAAGCTTTCGGGTGAATTATGGATGTTGTCATTTCCTGGTTATGTTCAACCACATACTGGCATACATGGTGCACGATGGCCAAAAATAGCTTGCTAAAAAGTTAAAGACAGACAGTGCTGTACTGTTCCCTTACTATTTCATTTTAATGGCCCAGTTCCTCTTATGAGTTATGGGATTTGTAACCCACCCCAATGCTTTCTGTATGCACAGAGGGCAGGTGTAAAATGTAGTAGAGTCCACCGCGGCCCATAGCGAAGGAACATAAGTCTCCCTTTGAGCTGCAGCTAAATTTTCTCCCTTCATACTGTACAGATTAGTTGTGTGTGCAGCAGCAGTAGTAGGAAGTCCCTTGACATGTCCCTCTCAGGACTAGATGAATAACTGGGGAATGATAACAGTTCACTCTCTGTTCCTGCAGACACACACATTTCTCAGCATTCGAAATAAAAAAAAAAAAAACTCAATTAAAGAAAAATGTTGGATCCAGTCTGAGTGTAAGCAACGACTCGAGCGAATAAAAGTGAAGGGTGTTAAAGAAAAAAGCTGAAAAGAGGAACACAGGGAAGTGAAAAAGGATAATGGATGGTTTGAAGGAGGAATAGATGGAGAGAGAAGCAGCCGAGGGGTCACATTCAGTAGCAGATGTGGCCCTGCGGAGTGGCGGTGGCCGGGTCAAGAGAGATGGAGGGAGACAAAGCTTGGATCATGGCCCCTTGCGCGCCAAACCGGCTGGGCCCCGGGGCCATAAACTACAACCTAATTGAAGGATACCGTGGAGACCCCGCTTTTACCGAGCAGAGGAAAGAGGTGGTGATTGAGGAGGGGGTCCCTTTCTCTCTCTTTCTCCCTCTCTTTCCAGCCCGGGAGCTCCGTCGGCTGGAACAATATTGGTGTTGGCGAGGGGCTGCGGCGAGCATTGCTTAACCGTGTCCATTTACGCCTAACATTTGCAAGATATAAATAATCCCTTTCCTCGCTGTTGCTCCCGCCGCTTTCATGGATGCATTCCTTGGTTATGAAACTGATGTTTAAAGTGCCATCACGTCAATTATTAATCTGGTCGAGGGGTTAGATCAACTATTTTACATCTATAGTTGTCAACCTGGCCTACCTGCCTCCTCCCCCTTAACCCCACAGCTCCCTTTCATCGATACCTGGCTCTCCTCCAGCTTCCCCATCTGTTCTCTCTGAACATATCAACGACTCTCTGGGCTTTCTTACAGCATGTCTGTTCCTCTGTCTGACATGCAAACCTCTCCACTGTCTGATTGTTTGGTTTGGTTCGCAGTCTGCCAAACACGTGGACG